ACGGACTGCAGGCCACATGCGGCCAGCCAGAGTGTTTTATGCGGCCCACAGACACTTACAGAAATAAAATACATAAAGAAATCTTGTCTCTACTTGTCATTCTTAAAAGTTTAAAGCAAATGAAGATTATTCTTATTGGCAATATTTTAAAACTCGTTGAAAGACACAGAGATGTTCTAAAGCGGGTATTTATTCAATGCTTTGAGCAACTATGTTGAAAGTGTTGGGTTGGCTTAGAACAAGATGGCAAGTGTAACAACTGATGGGGCCCGTGCTTTGACTGAATAAAAGTAGTTTTTTAATAAATTTAAGTGCAGTATCCCAACCGAAAACTCTACAAGGAAAAGTTTGCCCAAAGCTGCATTGAATATCAAACAAATTATTAATCCAATTATCTCAGCGATCAAACTTATCAGAGCTAGGGGTCTTTAGCACAGGCTATTCCGATAAATACTTTAAGTTATTAAAAAGCCTGTTCTACTCAGTTGTGTTGCCTTTATATGAGAATAGAGACCTTGTAATCACAACAAATTTCCATAAGGAACATAAAGCAGTCGTAGTCCTAAGATGTGAAAACATAACATTCTGATGTTCGGTACCACAGTAGTGTCCCAAGGTATTGAGAAGAATATGGGATCTCAAGAAAGAAATGTTATGTTTCTTGATGGACATTAAGTGACTGTGACTTCGTTAGTAATATTTCTTATCTTATCTTATATAATACAGATGTTACTTCAAAAAAGATGATTACGTCCTACGCGTCATGCATATTAACCAATGACTTTAATTCTGCCAAGTCACTGATTTAATGTTATTTCTAATGAGAAGTGGAAGACCAGACTTCATGTTTTTCATCGTAGGTATTGCAATTTGTTGCTTGCGCATGAAAAAATGTGCATCTTTTCAAACAAAGCTTTCCCTTTTCTGCAGGCAAGCCAGTAAAAACAGGTTTTATCATTTTCCTTAGCTGAACGGTGAAACTATGTCTTGTAAAATGGTTGAAAAGTACAAAACTTCTGGAATTTTTCAATATCCCCACTTCACCATATAAAGCATCAGCTGATTTAGCTCCAGAGAAAATACCTCCAAGCAAAGTATGAGCTCAAAGTGAAGTTCCAGTCAGTTCTTCCACTGGAGTTTTATGGGTATCAGAAGCTGTATTTCCACACTTTAAAAAAACTTGCTAAACTTTTTACATTATTTGGATCTACATAAATCTGTGAACAAGTATTTTTCTTTTGTTTGAAAATAAACAAGTTTAAAAACAGGTCGATACTGACTGGCTGTAATTTGACAGCAATCACAAGATAAGAACTTGGAACATTATGCATGAGTGTTAACAGTTAAATACTTCCCATCAAGTACAACTGTACAGCTGAATCGTTGTGATGAATTATTGTGATGTAAAAAGACTATAACAAAGTATAAAAAATTATCTTAAAATTAGTTTTAGAAATTGTTAAAACTTGTAATTCTTTGATTGGTACTATAATAAAGATGTAAATGTTTTATACAGTATACATGTAAATTAAAAGACAATTAGCTAGCGTATTTTGCTATGTAAATAAATTTATATATATATGCAACCTCCCATTCCTAAAATTTGTTTAATGCGGCCCTTGATAGAGAAAGGTTGCCCACCCCTGAACTAGACATATCATTCTATTTTTTCTAGTTGTTTATCTATTTATTAGAATTAGACCTTAAATTTTTTAATTTTTTTAATATTTTTTTTTTATTCATAGTTATCTCAATTTGTTTATATAAAAATGTACTAAGACTAAGCTAAGGGGAGATAAGCCCTATGAATCAGGTCATTTCACTCAATAATTTAAATAGACTTTCTAGACTGTAAAGCTTTCTATTTTTATATGTAATTGTATATCTCAGTGGCTAACCCGTTGGTCTTCCATCATGGAGACTTGAAACCCGTAAAATTTAGACTTGAGCAACTTTTTGTTTGTATTTATAAAAAATGCAATACAGAAATTTTCTCCCAGATATAACCTTCTCTCACCTCCCCCACCTGTCCACCTCTCTACAAAAGTGATTGGACTATAGTGCCCTGAGCAATCTATAAGCATGAAAATTGCACTAAATAAAAAACAATTAATACAAATATTTCCAAATGTACACATTTATTATTGTTAATCTACATCTATTAAGAATTAATTACATTATTGATTCAAAATAATTGATGCAATTTTGCTAAATGTAAGTTTTTAATCTTTGTTTTTGAAAAGTATTTTTTACATTTTACTTGTTTGTTTTTTTTCATAAAATTAGAATTAGTCATGTTGCCAGCACCATTGGTAAAAAAATAAAAGAAAACTTCCATGATGGTTATCTGTTTGTGGTAAGTTTTCAACAACTTTTTAGTCTGAATGGCAAGGCTTATACTACACTTTGATGACAACTCTAGTCTCACATGCAGAGAAATAATGACACATTAACTTTAGTAAAAATGAAATACTTGATATATATATATAAATCACTTTCATGAAACAATTTCATTTTGGGTTGCACCGCATAGTACTTATTGATATCCTATCGAACCAGATACCTGCATGTCTTTTAAATGACATACTACATTCATATTGATACTGATAGATGAATTAAAGTTTAACAGCATTTATTAACAGATTGGCCTATGACAAACTAAACTGTATAACATGATGCAACCTATGCAAATGTGGAGGTCACTCTATTTAAACTTATTGAAAAATCACAGCATATATTCTTTAGTTTAATACCTTCAAACTCAGTTCAATAAAATAAGCAGCCCAGCAATGAAGAAGTAGAAATTCACATAAAGCATAAGTCACTTGCACTAATCTGATAATAACTGAACTGACATGTAATAATGAAGCAAGGTGAAGATACTAACCATTAATAACTACTGATCATAGAATAATGACCACTGAACAATGACCCTGATAGCTATTTTTGCTTTCCTTTTAAAGTCACATACAAAGATTTTTCTGGATTGTTTACATAATTTTTAGCATTTTATTCAACTTAACCTTCTATCTTTCTCTGAATGTTTCTAAATTATTTCAATCTATTCAAGGTCTTTAAAAAATCTGGTCTGGTTTTTCTTACACATGGAACACAATGTAACTGTTAATGTGCTGTCATTTGTTTGTAGCTCCAAAATAGCTAGTACACAGATTCAACTTGAAATTAGATGTATGTAGAAGCAATTGAAATGATCATTAAAACAAGATATAACTCACTACAACTACAGAACTTTTCTGTCTTGTGTCTCTAGCAAATATCTTCCACTTTCCCACCAGTTTTTTTTTTGTTTTTTTCACTTATACCAGACCACCTCATGTTTTCATTAGAAACATCAACCCTACTTTTTGTTATGGTTGCTCTAGAAACACACACATAATAGTGACCTTAACCTGGTCAGCTCTCACTTGCCTGGCATAAGGTGCACTGGCATCAAACATTTGTTTTGGGGAAGGGGGTTCATCTCTTTTTCAGCTGGGGACATTTCAGCTGAAGGCTCCCACAGTGGAGTCTGGGAGGGTTTTAAGAATGTAATAAAAAAAGAAAAACTTAAATGACATTTTACATAACACACTTTTCTGGTTTTGTTTTGCATATGTTTAAGGCAAAGTTCCCTTTGAAACCTTTTTGTAATATATAATTTTAATAAATTACCAATTAGATATGACAAATCATTGATTTTATCTAGTCATTTAGTTTCTTTGTGCTAATTTGATCTGGTGGCACATTGTATGCTTGGATGTGGAGGAGGAGTTAGGGATATTTTTTTTTTACAAAATGATATGATATGATACATTTTAATCAAGATTTTTTCTTCCCATTAAATGTGTTGACTTTGTGATGCCTTTAAACCATTGTTTCAGAAAAAAATGGTTCTAGGCCATTGGCTGATAAAATGTGTCTTTTTTTGAAGTCTTAAACAAATTTATTGTGTTATTTCTTTGTTGTTTCGTGTAGGTTGATAATCGTAAAGTGAAGTCCAACTGTGTGTCACAGCCATATAAAGTGTTTACATTGAAAGAGAATGGATGGAAAGAAGTAGATAAAAAGTAAGTGTTTTGACATTTTGATGCCAATGTCTAGTTAAAATAAAGAAAATTTTTTTTTTAAATGATTTTCTAAAACTTCTTTTTGCAAATGAATGGCTTTCAGAACTGACCAAATATTTTGCTTGATTCTAACTAGAACAAAATTAACTTAATCTGTCTGGCTCTAACATACTCATAGTAAGTTCACTCTATTCCCTGTGCAACTCTCCTTTCAGAGATGTTTTGAGGCCTTTCAAGTCAAATTATGGAACATCACACTAACTTTAATCTTTTAACATATATACATATCCTTATTGATGCCCAATTGAATAAATAATGATAAAACATTTTTCTTCAGAGGTGGTAATTCATCAGAAGATGAATTACAGAAAGAGGAATGCCTTGAAGCTCTGTTAATGTCTGGTGAACAGAGAAAATTAAGAGATTTTGATAACCATCTTGACGATGTTCGAAATGATTGGCGTAATCTAGAAGTCAATGATATGATAAAACAGCTAACATAGTCCTTACAAATGTTTTTTGTCTTTTAATTTATTCTTACACACTGCCAGGGAATAATTATCATTGTAACAAAAAAAAAAAAAAAATATTAGAAAGTTTCATGCTGGGTAGTATTTCATGTGTAGCTGTGTGCGTTTTTGTAATTAGTAGTAGTGTGGTCAGTGAGAGGGTCTCAAATGGAAGGGAGGTAATCTGGAAAAGTTCTGTACACCCAGTTTCAGTCCCTTTTTATTAGTCTGTTTTTAAGAAACTACTTTTGTGAACATGAATTCAATTTCTTCTTGATGTATTTTTTTTTGCTATAAACTTGTTCTGATATATATATTTATCAATACTAGCACATATATAACTATAAAAATGTAAAATGGCAATTATTTCAAACAATAATAGCTTCAGACTATAAACATTGTACAATTACATAATCTTTTGACATATTCTCGTTGTAAGAATGGTATTCACTTGCATAATTTATTTTTACTCAGAGAATCCAAAGAACTATAACAGTCTTATGTTTTCAGTTTTGACACACTTATGTAAAGTGAATGACTCTTGATGTTATAATATATATAAATAAAAGGTCTTTATAAATTGAGGCTTTGTAACCTTTGCATCACTCAAAGTTCAGTTCAAAAGAATTAGTTTTTAGTTCTATAGAATTGAAATGTTAATGGTGTAAAATTGACATTGTTCATAGTTACATTTGATGACTTCAAGTTGGATGTCATTTTTCACAGAATGAGTGTGCTGTGACAGGAGTCTGTAAGCAATTGATCTTGTGCTCATTACAAACAAAAACTTTGCTCATGCATGAGTGTCTGTTTTCTATTCATAATTTATTGCAATATATGTCAAAATTATGATTTTGGTAAGGATTCATTGAGTTCAAAAGTATTATTTGTACCAAACATTTTTCAGGCATTAAAATAAATACATGAAGACACCATTGATTTTATTTGTTGAATTTTTTTTTCTATAAGAAATAGCTCTTTGGATTAATAATAGAACTGAATGGCCAACTACTTCTGATCCTCATTTGTACTCTAACAATCTCCACTTACTTTGCTCTATAAGTAAATCCTTTTTTACTTATTTACAAGTAGGGTGACATGGTGGCTAACTTGTAAAGTGCTTGGCTTCTCAACCGAGTTGTCCTGAGTTTGAATCCTGGGATTTTATAATTCCAGGATCTTTACTGTTCCTCTGAGTCCACCCAGCTCTAATGGGTCCTTTTGCTGGCCACATGACACCCTCATTAACTGTGGGCCAAAGAAACAGATGTCCTTTACAAAAACACTTTTTTTTTTAGTCCTTGTTACCTCCTCATTCCCAACCCTCAAGTTTGAGGTTGGCACCATCACTTGAAAGAAATCAGTTTGAAACAAAGCTCACACATGTCAACCCTCAAGTTTTAGGTTGGCACCATCAATTGAAAGAAATCAGTTTGAAACAAAGCTCACACATGTCAACCCTCAGTTGAGGTTGGCACCATCACTTGAAAGAAATCAGTTTGAAACAAAGCTCACACATGTCAATCCTCAAGTTTTAGGTTGGCACCATCAATTGAAAGAAGTCAGTTTGAAACAAAGCTCACACATGTCAATCCTCAAGTTTTAGGTTGGCACCATCAATTGAAAGAAGTCAGTTTGAAACAAAGCTCACACATGTCAACCCTCAAGTTTTAGGTTGGCACCATCAATTGAAAGAAATCAGTTTGAAACAAAGCTCACACATGTCAACCCTCAAGTATTAAGTTGGCACCATCAATTGAAAGAAATCAGTTTGAAACAAAGCTCACACATGTCAACCATCAGTTGAGGTTGGCACCATCACTTGAAAGAAATCAGTTTGAAACAAAGCTCTCACACATGTCAACCCTAGCATGTCCCTGTGCTACACATTTTTAACCATTAATTATAGAAAAACTGATAAATAAATCATTGAAGCTTTGCATTTCCCAAAGACAGCTATTTGGACAAGCCAAGCCATTGTAATATCCACCTACACAATGGTCATCCCAACAGCAACATATCCTTGCGAAAAATGTAAGACTAAAAGTGGCTCAACAAAAAATGGCTAAGATGGATTTTATGAGCCAGCTATAAAGATTGGGTCTCAAACAAAGAAATTCAATGCCAAACTGGGACTTGACCACTTAATGAGGTTGTGATGGAGCATTGCATGAGGAAGGGACTTCCTCATATAACTTGGCACCCTTTCATGAGCAGTGGAAGAGGGTTCAAAACATCATTATTCACTATTTAGTCCATTCTATACTGATGATTTATTTTGTGTTGCCAGTCATAGTCTCTTTATTTAGGATAACTTATCTCCACAAATGCTATTATAATCCCCTCCCAAAAAAAAACTATACACTTTTAATATGCCCTTATATTCAGTGACAATTTGTTTAAAAATTTAGACTAGAGACCTACTTGTAGAGCTAGATTGACTTATCATTTATTACAGTATTTACAATTCAAAATGTAGTAATTCCCACCCCATTTCATATTAATACAAATGCTCTGTGTTCTTTGTAAACACACATTTGATAATCACACAGTAATCCCTACCTTGATTTATGCCAAGGTATATCAAGATTGGTCAATCAGTTTTTATTCGGGACATACATACTTACATAGGCCTTTTTTTTTGCTTTATACTATAGATATTGTTTGCAACCAAATTTGCCATGAATCTTAGAATATGACTGCTGACTGTGACAATTCTATCTTATTGACAGTTCAGTGCATAGAATGTATGCTTTAACCTCAATATAATGTCATAACTATATGAAAACACATACCTGAAAATTACTGAAAAACAAATGACGCCAAGAAAACTGATGTATTCACACATATTTCTATTTTTGTTTAATTCACAGTTGCTGATATTATAAAAAAAAATAATTAAAAACTTATAATTTGTATATTACATACATAATATTTTGTTCTATTAAACATGGTGATACTGAGCAATTGGGATGGAATCAATTAACAGCTGCCTTTTGTAAATGTAAAACAACTTTTAGATACAACATACAAGGCACACTTACATATATATGTGTACGTACACATCAGGGTACAGAAACATATTTGTACACATACAAGGCATACAAAACAAATATTTGTGTACACATAAATACCCACAAAGAAATATTTGCATATTTCTTGCAAATAAAAATATCACTTCATAGGGATATTAAAAACAAATGCTGCCAAAACAAATCAGTTATTTACAATAGCTTAGTTCAGTTCTATAATTAAGTATAATATAGTTCTGGAGAATAGAGAACACAATCGTATTTGTAGAAAATAATGATTTCAGTTTGATATACACAATATGGCCATCGTTGACATCTCAAATAAAATCTATTTAGCATCAGATAACTAATAACTCTTATAAATAAATACTGATACCAGATTTAAAAATTAAAACTAGATTAATTCATTGACTATAATGTACAACACATTATTTGAGACATACTAAAGGGAGGACAAGTCTCCCATGAAATATTTACATTGATTGTACATTGCCAATACATTTTTCTTACAGAGGCTCTAAATCAGACAGAAACCCCCCAATCATTAGTTGATATTGGTAATGTCACGGATGGTACCAGTCTTACCACATGGTGTGTTAGGTAATTTATTCTGTGGTTTCAATTCTTGAAGAACTTTGCGGTGTTCATTTTGCAGTTCAATGTATTTCTGAAATTTAAACAGGAGCCATGATAATTTTTAAAAATATATTTCAAAGAGAGTTCATGTTTTCACATAAGCTCAGAGGGGGCCCTCCACTAAGATACACCTATGCAGGTAAAAAAGAAATATTAGGTATCAACATTCACAATCCTATCTCCTTTTATACAAAGTATATGTATGCAAGAGAAAGTATTTTGTTTGACTCCCTGCTGAGGTATTATCATTATTATTTAATTCTTAATTGAACGCTTGGCTTCCGAATCAGGGACCTGGGTTCAAATCTGGGATTTTCAATTTTGGTATTTTTAGGGCGCCCCTGAGTCCAACCAACTCTAATGGCCACATAACACCCTGCTCATTAACCATTGGCCATAGAAGTATATAACCATAACATCATCAGCCCCATGATAAATCTCAAGGTCTGAAAAGAAAACTTTACTTTTTTTTTCATACATTTTAATATGGGTTTGCTTTTCAAGCACTTGGCTTCTGAACTGAGGGTATCTAGATGACCTGACATGTTTTTTTTTTCTTCAGTGAACTGATTGTTATGAGGATAAGGTTCAGAGCCTGATCTTAAGATTGCACTTTTCTGATACACATTCTTATTGTATAAAACTCATTGCAAAAAATAATAAGTTTTTGTGTGTAGAAAAGAATGCACACAAAAAAGGGCCCAGTACCCTAGTAAGTTTGTTTGATGAATATATATATATGTTGTTAAATAAGCACAACCTGACAACCTTGTGTCTTTAACCACCCTAATTGTGTTGTTTTTTCCCCCTATATATTGTAGAATATGAAAGCCCCCATTGAGATGCTGGGTTACTGGCCTTGTAATGGCAGGGGTAACTAAATAAGGTGTGCCCACAGTATATACATATACAAATTCAAATATATAAAAAATAATTATAAATATCTATATAAATTATTGAAACTGTCTCATTATAAAAGTTTCAAGTAAACAAAGATTAAGCTAATTTACTATACTTCAATACACTTAGTCTAAGACACAATCTCATTCAATGCAATGAAGAACTGTGTCGAGTGTTGGGTATGCTTGGAACAAGATAGCAAGTGTAACAACTGATGAAACTCAATCTTTGACTAAGAAAAACAGTTTGTTTGTTGTTGTTTTAAAGAATATCCCAACCATAAATTGTAAACAGGAAAGTTAGCACAAAGCTGCATAAAATAACATATTATTGACCTACATATTATTGTGACCACAGTTATCAGAGCTAGGTATCATAACCACAGGCAGAGCCAACAGGTACTTGAAGATTTAGAAACAAAATATTCTGATGTATCCAAGATGCTACAGAAGGATCCTAGGTATCACATGCTACAGAAGGATCCTAGGTATCACATGCTACAGAAGGATCCTAGGTATCACATTCAAAGACCACATCACAAACCAAGAGATTAGAAACAGGGTTACTGCAGCGATCGGACCCCATGATGACCTGCTAACTATTGTAAAAAAATGCAAGCTTAAAATCTATGGCCATATTACAAGATTTTCGGGGCTCACAAAGACCTTCCCTCAGGGAACAGTACCAGGAAAAAGAAGAAGAGGCAGATAGAGAAAGCAATGGGAGGACAACATATAAGAATGGACGGGCCTGCCATTAAAAGAGGTTCTAAACAAGGATAAAGACGGTCGACAAGTCTTGCTTGGTGCCCCAACGGTCCAACAGACTAAGGGATAGGTAAAGGTACAAAATCCGCTGGCTTAGCATGGGCAAGGTAATGAGAAGAAAAGATTCTATGTTCCTTGAAGGACATTGACTGTGTTTTTGTTACTAATATTTCTAATAAAGAGTGGAAGACAGATTTCATGTCTTTCATGACAGCTATTGCAATGAGTTTTTTGCATTTGCAATGTAAATGCATGTTAAATCCTTTCACACAAGGCTTTCCAATTTCTCCAGGCAAACAAGTGAAAACAGGTTTTGTCATTTTCCTTTGCTGAAAGGTGAAACTATTTCCAGTGAAATGGTTAAAAGTACAAGACTTATTTTAGATTCCTAATTATGGAATTTATAAAAGCAAATTTTAAGACGCCAAGAACCAATTTTCATTACAATCAGCTCACCATTTAGCACAGATACTGATTCAGCTCCAAATAACATAACTCCGTGCAAATTATAATCTGAAAGAGAAGTTCCAGTCAGTACTTCCACGGGAGTTTAATGGGTGTCAGAAGCTGTATTTACACTTAAAAACTTTGCTACTAAACTTT